GTTCTGAAGTGCAAGAGGAAAAGTTATTTGCAGGTTCTCTCTACTGTCCGTCGCTCTTGCGCTTGAAATGAATAATTAACATTAGACTAGAAAATTTGCATAATCTCACAGGCGCCGTTGGTGACGCCCCCCGCCCCGTTAAAAATCATAGGGCGGCGCCCCCAAGGCGCCACTCGGCACGCCCCCCAAGGGGTGCCTCGGGGGCGCCTTTGGCGGCGCCCCCGGGCTTCGACCCATATATACCGTAATCCGTCCTCCAAAATAACGGCCATCCCAAAGGAAACTAGGTCAAAAGGGGCGCGATTTTGAATGGCACTCTCGTTGGCCAGCTACTCATTAGATATGCATACAACCGTACACCATATCTCATCTTTTTCCCTTAATTTTACAGACCTTAAAACCTTGATTATGAAATTTAATCAAAAACTGATGTATGAATGGATATCATTTTTAGTTTTGTAAGCTACGTTTATTCAGATTCATTCTTTTTCGAAGTAAATTCATTGAATTTTCCCAACAAGAGAAGTGTTTTTGACCCAGCTCGCAAATCGCTACGTAACATCAATCGATAGAGAAATAAAAATAAAGGTGAGGTTTAAATATTAATTTTTGCGGAACTCCCCTCTTTAAAAAGTTATTAGATTTTTCCAAGGTTCCTGGAACCCATTTTCTCAAAATCGAACCTTTTGATTTGTGATTTTAAATTGGGTTTAAATAGCCTATCTGATAGAGAAATTTTGTATATTTTATTAGTGCCGGGTCGCTTCATTAGACACGTTTCAGGAGACTGGAATCGTGCGAAAATGTCGAAGTTTACATAGAGATAAGGCATACCAAGTATCGTCAATTTTTCCAAATTTTCTAATCTCCAAAATTTTTGAGTTAGATAGCTCCAAGGATAAAGAAAAATTTTCTGAACAAGATGGTGAGGTTTGCTTTTGCGAAATCAAGCCGAAACGACAAGATTTTTGCGTTTGAAAATTCACAAGTTTTATTAAGGAAAGCCTTTAGAACCCAAATAACTTTTTAAAGAGGGGAGTTCCGCAAAAATTAATATTTAAACCTCACCTTTATTTTCAATTCTCTATCGATTGATGTTACGTAGCGATTTGCGAGCTGGTTCAAAAACACTTCCCTCGTATCCCAAAAAAAATATCCAGATTTTTTATTGCATGACAGAATGTCTTATTTCGAGCTGTCTGATGACATTCGTCGCGTCATTTGCAATGTGTACCCCGATTATGGCGCTTCTCAAAGGCGGCTGGCTTCAAATGTAAGTGGCGTTAAAGGGACCAAAAAGTCTTGCCAACCCCATCAGTATTGATCTCTGGCAAAGAGCCAGATACGACTGCAACGCGACCGCGCCGCGCTTGATCTAGCCCCGTTTTGAAGTGAAAAACGCAAATTTGCCGATTGCCACGTAGTTTCGATCGCCGTTTTTTACTTACCAAAAAAACCTTTTTGTATACCGTTAGAAAGGTCTAGTAACTTAATGAAAGGTGTTTTAATGGTTTTTAATGCAATATTTCAGCCAGAATTAACCTAAAACTACCTAAAAATTTGAAAATGTTTTATTAAAATCGAAATTCGGTAAAAATCCGCCATTCTTCGTCGAAAAATCCATATTTTTGATAGTTCTTAATAAAAATTGATAAAACGCTTAGAAACACATTGACTATTTATATTTAAAAATATGCCTTACTAGGTTCCGAATCGCGAATCGGAATGGACGCGGCTGGACTTCGCGGAGTTGCCGGTCGTTGTGCAGCCCCAGATTATCATCTACCTACACAATGACCTGAATGACCTCATGAAACTCGCCACTACAAGCCGACGGAACTGGGAGCTCGTCTGCTCGAGTCCACGCTATTTCTCAACCATCGAATCGACCGGATGGGGAATTGTGAAAGTTACAGGGCTTTGTGGATCAGGATTCGACGTGAATTTGCCCTCCATCTGTAGTTCCATCATCCAGGGTGCCCACTTTAAAATGGCCATTCTTTATAAGCCATTTGGGATGGCTTCTTTGCTTCGATTGACGGCCTCTTCGCTCGTCATTGGCCATCCCCACCTGTGGACCGCCGAGCAGCTTGAAAAGTTCAAGAAACCCGGGTGGAAATTCCGTAAAATCGACGTGCGACTAGCAACAAAAAAGCCGCGAAGAGATCCATCCGGTGACGTCATCAATTTCATAAACAATTCGGCAGAAAAACTACGAATTAGCCTGCCGAAATATGAGGAAGAAGCCGGATGGTACCTGCAGTTCAAGCATTCGCAAATCAAGTTGTACGGCCATTACAGTCTGTTAGAACTACGCGAGATTCTTTCGGGATTTCTAGACGAATGGCTGGTATATAAACGAGACATCTGGAGGATACATTTTGATTTGTCGGAGGAGGATATACCCTCGCAGAAAACGGCCAAATTTTGGGTCCCGGAGCGATATGATGCCATCTATCGAGGCGAATACGTGGCAAGAATTCGACGCGAAGACGGAAAAGTATTGATATTAACCTCGAGCAAATTGCATGCTGTTTTATCGGCTCGCTGCGAAGAAAGGATCGAGAGTTCCGTGAAGGGGGAGCGGGATCAGTATATTTCCCATACTTATGTGTATCATCGATAAGTCTACGATTAATAAATAAGACTTTGACCCAATATATTTGCTTAATTTTTGCTCGAATCGTTTTAGAAAAATACAAGGAACTAGAAATAGTTCATGTAGTGTGGAAATTGTATTGAGTATAAGATAGTAATGTACCCAATTTTAATGTAAAAATCGTTAATTTTAATGTGATTATTGATTGACATATGTTTGCGTTGTAATACGAATAAACTTTTAGAGGTAATTTGAGGCTGAACATGAGAAAATAAACTACAAAATACAAAATCAATGCGCGGCTAAACAATTTACTAGCGTCACGCTAAATTCTATGCAAAATTCGATGCCGCGAAATTTCAATCGTTGTTATGTCGTGCAAGGTTGGTGAATTATTATGTTGTAGTGGGTTCTCAGGCTGCTTCAAGTGCAATATCGTCGGATTCTTCGGGGAAACGGGCATCAAAGTTTTCACTGCCTATCACCGGATGCATGGCCTTCATAAAATTGAGGCGTAGTAAGTTGTCGAGGAGTTTTTCGATATCTTTCGTATCATTGTCGAGCTCTTCGATTGTCTAAAAATACCGATATAGGAGCAGGTTTTCGATTAAAGGGACCGGAAAGTCCTGGCTATCGATTTTCTAGGTATGGGATCTCTATGGGATTTTCAGGCAAATCAAACGCAAAAATCAAAGTTAGCCCAAAAATTCGCAAGTTCGCTAGCCATTAATTGCGACCCCTTCAAGTATAGTTTCGTACTTTAACGGTAGCATCGTATAGTTGTCCTTTTTGATCCTTTGAAAGGCATTTAATAGAGGAAAATATGCCCCAGAGATCAGCTGCCACACCAAGCGTCGTTGTAGCACCAAATAGCTGGACGATGACCTCTTCCTGGAATCGCTTATTTTTATCACTGTTTCTAAGCCTATACTTTTCAAAGATTGAAACTGACCGTAATCTTAAATCCGGCAATACTTTTCCCAATCAATTCCGCGCAAAAGATGGTATAACGGCATCCGGGCAAAATCAAGCCGTTGGCGGCCAGGTTTGCGTATTCAGTTACGCCCTGAAAAGCGGTTAAAATTTCACATTAAGCGCAACTCGACTAACCATATCTGGGGCCTTGATGATGCCATTTTGATCGCGTATTGCCTGATTTAGATCGAGAAATAATTGTTCGCGGAGTCGCCGATCGATTTCCCCAATTTTTTCGAACGTCGCTTTCGCCGCCTGAAATATTTTGATAAAAAAACGCCTTGAAAAAAGCATAATCTTGCATCAAAAATTTTTAAAGCATCTAGGACTGCTCTGAAATTAAAAATACAGGAAAAAGATACAGCTGTGCCGGAATTGACGAAAGTGAGCGTGGCCTGGAAAACGGCAGTTATCATCGGGACGAGTAATGCTAAAAACTCTAAGTAAAATAGAGTAAAAATCCGTAACTAGATAAAATAAAATGTTAATCGATCGAAAGGACAAACCTGCTGGCGATATTATGCAAGCAAAATAAGACGCAAAACTCGTCCCGCTCAAAAACAGTTGAAATTTCGCTGTTGCTTGCTCATCCAAGGCGGACTAAAAATGTGTGAAAGTTTTGTAACAAATTTCAATAAGTAACTTTTTAACTTTATTCGGTATGTTTAATCCATACGTTGTTAGCGATTACAGCCAATGGAGCGATCACAGAATCCGCTCTCTGTTGCTTGAAAGTTGCCAATTTTTCGGCAATCGCTTGCTTGAATCGGTTGTATTCCTCCATTCCTAAGATATCTAATTTTCAAAAAAATTCAATGCAGCTAATTCAACCGCGAAGATTAATTTTTAGATTATACGATCTAGGCTGATAATTCGGAAAAATCAAAAAATGAACTATTGAAAAGGAATAATAAGAATAAAAATAACACCCATTGAATGATGCTGGGCATACAAATGGATGGATGTCGGGGAAAAATCTTCTCCTTATCTTTGTGCCTTTATTTTCTTGCGCATCAAAATGGGACCGGCTGTTTGGTTGCGGAACGCTTCATCGATTGATGGCGCTCGATATCCCCAACAATGTTATATTAATATTTAAAACGGATAGCTTCAAAAAGATAGATTGTCAGGTTTCTCTCACGAAAGGTGTTCTTGGAATCTCGTTTCTTAGCGTCGATTTTGCCATGATGTTAGTTTGACGGATTTTGTATAAAACTTTTATACACAGCAGATATCGCCACAATTCAATTCTAGATTTATAGGTAATAGATTATTCAAGCCGCTCTCAGATCGATATTTTCAAATTGGAAATGGATCGCCTGAGCTTCAAAGTTTTCTTCCTTAATTATCAAGCACATCGCATTCATAAAACTGACACGAAGGACATTATCAAGCATCGATTCGATATATTTCGTATCGGCATCTAGCTCTTCGATTGTCTAAAAAAACCATTTCTAAAAAGTAAATCTCGGAAAATACAGTACCTTGATGACAGCATCGTGAAATTGGCCCTTTTGATCGTTTTTGAGCCCTCTAATCGATGAAATGATCGTCACAGCGTCCGAGGCAACACCCAGCAATGTTGTCCCCACAAAGAGACGGCCGAATAGCTTTTCCTAGATTGAGACAATTTCTGGGAGGCTTGACAACCTAGTTACCGTAATATCCAATCCACCAATGCTTTTCCCCACCAATCCGCCAGCAAATATCGTCGATCGGCATCCAGGCAAGATGAAGCCGGCTGCCAGCTCTGCATATTCGGCCACTCCCTATACAAAAATTTAAAAAAAGGCAAGAAAACTGACCATTTCCGGTTGCTTAATGATGCCCTTCTCGGCCTGTAACACTTGAGTAATATCCTGGAACAGCTGTTCTCGCAACCGTCGATCCGCACTAGCAAGGTCTTCCATTCGCTGCTTTAGTGTCTAAAATAGTATTTTTATAATTTTTTAATGCTTGAAATCAATACCTTTGCTCCCGAGTTAAAGACCGCCACCCCTGCATGCCCTATCGAGGCGATGAGCGGGACAACCATTGCTGAAACCGTAAAAACTCATAAAATAGCTGATTCGAGACGTTCTCGTTTTATAATTCTAGCTTAACCGTATTATAGCCAATTTTAGACACATTTGAAGGAAAGAAACTTTTGCACAAACTTAGCAATCAGCCGAAATTTTGGAAATTTTGCTTAAACCGAAACATTTGGGCAGAAAATCGCTTTTGCAAACGCAATTTCGTATCTTTACAAAAGAAGGTAACGCTTTAGGTTCCTGATTCAAAAATCGACTGAAAAACGGGACGAACCTGCTCCGGCGGCCGGTTCCGAGAAAACACAACCGCGGCAGCGGCTAGGTACGAGACAAAACTCGTCCCACTCAACACTAGGTTCACTTTCTGGCGGACTTTTTCGTTGAGGGCCGACTGGAAAGAGTAATATAATAGAAATTCAGTGATTCAAAGGATCCCTGCCAGCCTGCCCCTTCTCACCTCATCGGCAATGATGGCCAATGGCTCGATAATTGATTCGGTTCTCTCCTGCTTGAAAGTGGCCAGTTTTTGGGAGATTTGCTGTTTGAACAGATCGTATGAATCCATCCTAAAAATCGGATCAAGAAGATAGATGAAACTCGTGAGAATTAGAAAACTAGATGAGAGATGGGGGGATCGATAACCCATCCATCGATCGATCATCAAAAAGCTTGAAAAAACTTGCGTTTTGCCAACTTTGCCTGAAAAACGAGTGAAAGGAAAGAAAGATGTTACTATCAAAACACTAGCGTTAAAACGCGGAGACTGAAGAGAATGCGGCGATTTGATGGTCATTTTTGCCCTTTTCTTGCACATGAAAATGGCTCGTGCCGTTCGGGCGGGGGACGGCGGTTTAATCGATAGCTATCAGCAACAATGAGAGAAAAAATCGGAGAGAATGAAATTACTGAATAAACTTCAACTCTGTTTTTTTTTACTTTTTCCTTAATATCTTTTTTTAATAATCGCAATGTTTATTCAGAAGCCTAATCAAGAAACGGAATTTTTGGGAAGTTATTGAGAAATTCCCAGTGTTTGGGCAGCCGGTCTGGAGCTCAATTCTGCGGTTCGAGAGCCTGCTTATATTTAGCGGCGCATGGTAGCAAGTCGTCTAGATGCTCGAGCTCAATATTGGCATTTTCCTGAAAATCGTCTGCACCGATCGTCGAACTCATGGCCTTCATGAAGCTGATGCGTAGAATTTTATCTAATTCGACGGCGATCTGCCGCGTATCTTTGTGAAGTTCTTTGATCGTCTAAATGAATTTTTGAGCCTGGTCGATCTCTACAAAAAATTTCATAGGTTTCAACACGGCATCACAAGATACCTGTCGTGTAGCATTATGTAGTTGCCCTTTTTCGTTGTTCGCCATTTTGAAATCGATGAAAGAAGAGTGTAGGTCTCGGCAACAAACGCGAAGCCAGTCGCGCCCAGAAACACGCCAGTCGCTAGCCTGTCCTGAATTGTTGAATTTAGCCTTAGCCTGAATTCATCACCGTAATAGTTAGCCCAGTGAGGACCAATCTACCGCCCATTATCCCATTGCTGCCGACCGGCATAAAAAATCCTTTGACAGCCAGTTCCGCGTATTCACCCACCGTATGTGACTAAATTGCTTTTAACGTTGAATCTTTTGATCAGGCATCTTTTGACGCTTTTTTGAACTGCTATTATTACCAGCCGCTCACAGGACTTCGGCCGGACTTCGGGCTACCCCCTGCGCTCCCTCCCCTAGCTGAAACGCGCGCGACCTGGCTACTATGCCCAAAATCGTGCTATTAGCCGCCCTCGTTTTACTAAAGCACCGCTTTCAAAGTTAAATCTAATATTTTGAACGAAAACATTTTCATCCTTTTTTTGATCAGTTTTGGGGTTTCCGACTGCGCTCTATCCGAACCCGAAGAGACCTAAGTTCTAGCTCCTTTCCGCTTCGGGTTGAATTCGGCTGCAGACTGGACAGACAGCCAGACAGGCAGACGGGGACCACCGCAAAATTATTCTAGTTGCTAAGGTGACTGACCGGGGTAACGACTATGCCAGCGTGTGCTTCTATTTCTTGATTCAAATCCCGGAACAGCTGCTCGCGCAGTCTCTTACTTATCATCTTCACCAAGCGAATTGATCGATTTCTTTGTCTCCTGGAAACCAGTAGGAGATTGATCTTTTTTTCTTAAGGTATTGATACCCCATTTTGGAATCGGTCGACCGATACAACGGCATGACCCACGCTCGTCACTAGGGGCACGCCAACCAATCCTGGAAATGCAGAAAAATTGTTGATAGAAACCTCTTGTTGCATGCAATCCTTTTTGCGTACAAGGATACGTTTTAGAGTATCCTCCGGGCGTTGGGTAGGACCAAGCCTACCTAGGGCTAGGTAGCTTAGGATTTTGTGCTGATTCCAATTATGGGTGCCTTCCGAATAAATTCATTCACCAAAAAAATCCGAATTTTGAAAAAAGGGTATTTGATAACTTTTCAACTTTTCAGCACATTATTAAAACGATACATACTTTCTTAAAACAAAATGCTTAGCTTGCGTTTTTCTAAAGCTATTTCGAGTCTATCGAAAGTAGCCGATTTATGGAGTTTTTTAGGTTTAAACCGTTGATAACTTTCGAGAAATGGCTAGTCCACAAAAACGGCAGCAATATTCGGAATCAGCTCGACATTCTACACAAGATAGCCCAAAGTCGCATCCCAAAGTTCCCACTCAAAAACGTCTCCTAGTGAGTCGCTCGGGAAAACCTGATTTCCCAGAATATCACCACCGGAATTTTATCGTCAAATCGGAAAGGAAACATTGAAATAACGAACCAGCACAAACGATGCCTACGGGGGCAGCCAAACACATCGCACCAAACCCAGCCACAATTGCAGCAAGGCCGATGCCGCTCATCGTCGTTTGCGCCAACAACCGATTTTCTTCCTCCGTGCCTAACTGGAAATAAAAGTATAATTATTTTTTGAGTGGTTTTTGTATCTAAAACAACGTAATATGCTCTAAAAATAACTTATACCAGGGTTGAAAAGCCGCTACGCGGCTTTTCACCCCTAGCCTTCGCGCACGGAACTCTCAAGTTGGGCACTGCATAATTCGAGCGAAGAGCGAGAGCGAACCCAAAAACGGTAAAAGCAACCGGCCGCTAGCGCGACAAAATTCGAAATGAGCCTCCTAGCGTCTCGTATGCAAATGAGGATATTTCCATATGTTTTAAAATAGCTAAAATAAGGTATAAATCGATATTTTATTAAAAATCTGATAAGCTTGCAGTAATCTACGCCCTCGACTACCCCTAAATACTTTTCGACTGGGTCCTAAAATTGATCCCACTTCGCGATATCTTGGTAACCGGGTTTTTTCGAGCCATTTATGCAAAGTGTCCACACACACACACACACATGAACTATTTTTTTATATATAGTAGGACCAGTGGAAAAAGCCCGCTTCGCGGCCCTTTTCCACTGGACCCCATCCAGGAACGATGAATTCGAATACCTTCTTTCTTAGACTGCGGCGCGAGAGCCTGTATCAAGGGAGCCATTCTTTGGCCTGCGGCGCGAGAGCCTGGACCAAGGACCCTTTCTTTGGCCTGCGGCGCTAGAGCGAGATCCAGGCCTAAACCTCGCGCTAGAATCTTTCAGCCTGCGGCGCTAGCTACTGCTTTTTCTTCCGAATTTGGCCTGCGGCGCGAGGCCCTGGGCAGGACCTTTTCTCTGGCCTGCGGAGCTAGGGCGAGCGTCAGTCCCTAAACCTCGCACACCGAGATCCCCCAGAAATAAGTTTTGTTGCTGAACTGCCAAAAGCAAAAATTAGAATTCTCCCAGGATCCGAACTGATGATCATGCGCATTGTAGAACGGGCGCAAATCCACTACACCATCGGACAGATGGGAACAGGCGACGGAAAAGCCCTCTTCTGTTCTGGGGAAAGGGGGGTCGGGGAAGGTAAAGAAAAGGGCGACCCAATGATCCCGGAGGGAGGCCTACTGGTCACTTTACAAAATTCGGTTTTTCGAGTATGAATCAGCCCCAAAAATTTGCAAAGATATAAGAGGCGCGTGATCCCCACCATCGAATACATCTGTGGTCCAAATTCCAGCCCGAAATTCCATCTGGGTCTCGAGTTATGGGCTGGACACCACGGCTTTTGGCCCACTTTATTAACGACATTTTATAAAAATGTTCATAAAAACTTCATTTTACAAAATCTGACAAAACACAGAATTATATATCAGGAGAATTCAATTTTCAATCTACCCTCAGAAATTAGCGCCCAATTCCATTTGGATCATGAGATAACCTCTGTACAAAGCCTTTTTTGGCCACAATGTTTAGGGTTTTCACTATTTTTCTTGTGAAATCGTTAAATGAAGGAATTTCGAAAAACAAAAAATGCCTATAAGGAAGATGTGTTTCTCCACCTCCATGCCAAAAATCAGCGCGAAATTCGGCCTGACGGCCGAGAAATCGTCATTACAGAAAACAGACATACTTTTCTCGCTCATAGGATAGGAT